AACCTAGAATAGAAGGCATGGAATGCCCAATAAACCCATCTCTAAAAGAGTCTCTTAACCAAAGGAGGTCTCCTCTCTAAGTTAGGTTAGAATGGAAATTAGATTGATAGGCTTTCACACAACACAATCATTCATAAATAATACCTCAAACCTTAAATTAAACACCTCCATCACACAATCATTCAATCCACACAATCAATTTCATGATAGGAGTTAGGGTTCTACAACACCCAAGTGAAAAGGGAAACTACTCCATGCTAGATAAAGGAAGAACACAAAGGAAGAAGAAAGAAACCATCATTGTGATGCCTCCAACCCTCCTTGTGCTTGTAGAACTCCTCATTGGGAGAGGATCTTCCAAAATCTTCACTTGGAGCAAACCCTAGCCTCTTCTCCCTCTTGGTTCGTCACTTTTTCTCTTGAGGGTTTCAAGAAGAAGGCTCTCCCTTCTCTCTTCCTTTCAGCTCACATTATATACTGGGATCGGGCTCAGCTCACGGCTTCAGTTCACGACCGTGAACTCCTCAACGCGCCGTGAACTTGGACGGCTGTGTCGAAACGCACCGCTTCACTCACTTGAGTTCACGGTTTGCACTCAAAGTTCACGGTTTTAGTGACCGTGAACTCACTCGGCGTTAGTAACTTCAGAATTCGCCTTGGACGCTTCACTGTTCACGGTTTATGGCTCCAGTTCACAGCCTTAGGAAACCGTGAACTCCAATGGGAAACCGTGAACATGGCCTGAATCTTGGAGTCATGTGCTTCATTATTAGGGGGCAATTGTCACGGACTTTGGACTTTTCTTTGGTTTTTGCGCTTTTTTCAACCTCCAATCGTCCCACAACTCGTCCTCGACCCTTCTACACGTGCTAGGACCTGAAATGTATAAAAAACAAGCACAACCTAATAGGTCGAGAGACGACAAAATGCAAAGTCAAAGCGTCAATAAATGAGGGGGTAAAATGTGTACATTTAGACCCGAATCAGCAATCCATAGTAAGGAGGAGATTTGCTGCTAAAATTCGAAGAAGAAGCATTCATTATCGATGTTTGTATCCAAGGTGCTGTTATTCTACTTCTCTATGTCTTGCTATTGATCTATTTAGGAATGTGAATTCTATTATGCTTATGTACTTTCTATGAGTTAATTAGATTCTTATCTCATTTTATGTTATGATCATCAATGCATATTCCTTTAGAAGCTTTATTGTATTCTACATGCTTTGTGATCATCGATACTTTATATCATATGATGTTTTAATCATTCTGTGCATGTTGATCTATTATGAGTCTTACTATGCATTGTTTATACTACTATCACGGAAGACAAGAAAACTAATCTTGTGCAGTAGGCATCCTTCTTAGGCACATATAGGAGGACTAGCTACGCTTCTATGCATGCATGAGAATAAAAAAAAAGTTTACATAGGTTAACGTCAGCTCTTAACAACCTCAACTTTTTAAAGATCTATATTAGTTACTAATGAATTAGTATTTAATAATTTATTTGTTCTTAATTATTATCCATTTAGATGATTGTTGACCATAAAGTTTGAACTCATTAGATGATGAACTTTCTGCTTCATTATTAGCAATGGACTAATTCCTTGAAGTTTCTAATTGCTTTTTTAATGCATAATTATCTTACTTGTGTATCGATTTAATAGATAAACAAGCTAATAATACTAGTATGAAGAAATAGTTTTAAGCAAATGCTAACAATAAGTACTGTAAATTTTTAAATATAAAATATATATAGACATTAATAACTTATGATTCCCAATCAACAAAATTATGTAAGAACTAATTATTACCAATCTCACAATTATCAAGTAATATAAAGATTACTTTCGACAAGGCCCAAAATCATTTATTATCATGAAATAATGACAAATCAGAAGACTTCATCCGTCTTAAAAACTAGTTTTCATGAATCCAGCTTACCCATATAAGAAAAAAAGACTAATCAATTAGTTACCCAATGTTTCATTTGAATTAATCCTTTGCAACAAATATTACAGTTAGGGCTGCAAATGAGCCAAGCTACTCGCGAGCAACTTGAGGCTCGAATCGGGAAAAACTCGTTCGAAACTCGATTCGTTTACTGACGAGCCAAGCTTGAGCCTAGCTATGTTCAGCTCGTGAAGCTCGCGAGCTAGCTCGACTCAGTGGCTTGTTGAGCTCAACTCTTGAGTTGGCTCATTTAGAGCTCATGAGATGTCTCAACATTGTGGTTTGAGGGCCAACTTGATCACTGACTTATGGACTAATCGATCTAATTTGGACTTTCATAATTCATAGGATTGTTAAATTATATATCTCACATCATGTGAAGTTTAACATGTTGAACATGTAAGAAAATATGCCTTATTTTTAATTCTATAGAGAAATTATGTACAAAATTGTTTCGATACTATGAAATAACATGATTTGAACTAGTTAAAATTTATTAACTAAACAATATGACACCTAAAAATTATAATATAAGATTAATTAATGTTGAACATTTGATTATTTGTTTTATCGCTACATCAATTGTTATAAACGCGCTGCTACGGATCGGGAAATTGCCGGAATCGACAAAGCAAGAATACGAAAGCGAGAATCGAAAACACGACACACGATTTACGTGGTTCACTAACACGATGTGTGTTAGCTACGTCCACGGGCGAGAGAGAGCCAGTTTCACTATATCAAGGAGATTACAGATTACAGAGGAGTATGAGAAGTATTTATAGTACTTCTCCATGTGGGTCTAAACCTAATCCAATCTGCCAAAGGAAACGGTTACAGACCAGGCCCAGAACCCGATTACCAGTCGTAGCGGCTGATAGTCTGATTCAAGTCATATCAACATCAATCACATGTACCATACACGACATACAAAATGAATGTATTAAATACGATCTAAGAATTTAGTAAACAAGCCTAGCTCGAACTCGACTCGGCTCGTTAATAAATGGCTCGGGCTCGAGCTCAGCTCATTTGTTAACGAGTCAAGCTCAAGCTGGGGTAAAACTCGGCTCAGCTAAGCTCATTTGCAGCCCTAATTACAGTTGAGAAGAAGTGGAAATAAAAATATTGGGTTAAAGACACATTTGGTCACTGAGATTACAAAATCGGGACATGTTTAGTCACTAGAAAAAGTTAATATCAAATTTGGTCACTACAATTACTAAAACTGGACGCATTTAGTCACTCGCCGTTAGTCTCCGTCCAACTCCGTTAATGAAGTCCGTTAAGTGCTGATGTGGCAAACAGAATTGCCTAATCAGCCGGATATAACCCAACAAAAATAAAACCCGACCCGCCACGTCATTAAAACCAACCCAACCCCACCCAACCCTTCTTCCTCCTTCCTCCCACCTTCACTCTCGTGCCCGCTCCCCATTTCCTCGCCGTCCATTCTTGGTGACGACGGCAAAGGCGGTGGTGGAGGCATTGTGTTTAATGGTGGCTGGCCACCGTTGTCACCTACTATCTCCTCCGACGGCGGACGCTCAACCGGCCTCCTCCTGTGTGGATCTACCACTCTTTGCGGCGCCGACGGAGGACCCGGCAGCGGCGACGATGGCGCGGGCACTTGGATCTTTCTGTCGGACCCAATCTTTGAAAAGTTAAGTGGTTTTAGTGACGACCGCCGAGGACGCATTGGCGGCAGCGGCCGCGGCGGCGGTGGAAATGAGTGGATTCCCTTGCTTTTGGTTGCTTTCCTGAATGGCGAATGGGAGACTGATGGCGGAGGAGGAGGTGGCGGTGGCGGCAGAGATTTGATTGTCAAAACTTCCTCTCTTCTTCTGCCCTTCTCCTCCTCCTCATCTCGATTCTCTCGGCGAGGAACAACTCCGAGGAAACGGCCGGAGGACGGAGGAGGAGGCGGTGGCGCTGGCACTGGGATCTTCCTCTTGGACAACCTCTTTGAAGAGGCGAATGACAAATGCAGAGGCGGTGGCGGCAGAGGAGGCGGTGGCGCCGGCACTTGGATCTTTCTCTTGGACAACAACCTCTTCGAAGGGGAGAACGATGAATTCAGGGACGGCGGCGGAGGAGGAGGCGGTGGCGCGGGCATCTGGATCTTTGTCTTGGACCACCGATTTGAAAAGGGGATTGATGATTGCGGTGGCGACGGGAACTGAGTTAGGGTTTCAATTAATTCAATTTCGCTTCCACCACCCAATTCCTCCTCCTCGTATTGATTCTCTCGCATATTGGAAGATGGAGGGGGAGGAGCTGGCAACGGAAAAGGCGGCGGCAGCGTTCGGAACTGAGCGAAAAATTCAATTTCGCTTCGCGGCGGTGGCCTGCCCCATGGAAACAGCGACGAGCGAAGCACGAAAGTATCCACCGGAATATCCTTGCAATTTTCGATTGGTTCGGGCGATTCTCCTCCCTGCCTCCGCCGTCGGCGAGCATGATCTGCCGGTGTCCGTCGCTGCAAATACAAACAGGGGGAGCTCGGTTCGGTCATTACGAAGAGGATTTATTCGACGTCGTGGGAGGTGCCGGGGTGGGAGTAAGGAGGAAGAAGGGTTGGGTAGGGTTGGGTCATGGGTTGGGTTGGTTATAATGACGTGGCGGGTCGGGTTTTATTTTTGTTGGGTCATATCCGACTGATTAGGCAAATCTGTTTGCCACATCAACACTTAACGGACTTCATTAACGGAGTTGGACGGAGACTAACGGCGAGTGACTAAATGCGTCCAGTTTTAGTAATTGTAGTGACCAAATTTGATATTAACTTTTTCTAGTGACTAAACATGTCCCGATTTTGTAATCTCAGTGACCAAATGTGTCTTTAACCCTAAAAATATTAGAAATAATATGTTATTAGACTACTAAAAGCCCAGTGGGTTGTCCTATATAAAAAGAAGCCCAGTGGGTTGAGTTTTTCGTTTGAACGCAATGGTAGGCCGGCCCTATCTTTTCCATCCAGGATTAGGATGAACATCAAACAGAAGATATAAAGAAAATCAGACGAGAAGGAAGTCTGGAACTGTAAAGGAGCCACCAAGGAAGGATATTGGTTTTACTCTGAGGGCCAGTTAGGGTTTGCATAAGCCTCTGAGTTCCGTCGTCGTACCGTAAGTTGGTGTGACAGACAAATTAAATGTCTTCCTGCAGCGGCTTCGTATTATTTATAGTTGCGATACAGAATGGGTATATTAGCCTGAAACCCCCAGAAAGGGATCTGGAAGGGGGAACCGGCAACTGGGGATCGATCTGCAGTCATTGGATTCAGCGGTGGGCGCCGGGACCTTGCGTCCCTCCAGGGTTCGCCGGCGATTGCCGAGGTTTGTTTTATTTCTCTGATTAATTATTAATAGATGCATCATCTTCCTTTTGCTGCTGCGACATATCTATCTACTGCGCGCGTCAGAGTTGCTGCTTGCTAGGGCACTGGTTATGGGCATTACTTATAACTGTGGTGGATATCGGTCGGATTCTCGGTTGCTTAACGCCATTCTCACCTCTAATGATTGTTTGCAGATTCTCCTATTTCTCGGTCCAAACGAATTCCTCCTTCTGGTATGAAAACTTCATCATATTAATTACTTCATTCGGTCTTCTTTAATTGATGGATTGCAACTGTTGCGTAACAATGCTGCTGCTAAATTCTTTCTTTCTTTCTTTCTTTCTTGCAGTTTCTATTTCCCCGGAACCTGTGATTCTAGCCAACGATCCATGCTATAAACAGAAGCTGCAGAGGATCTATAATAAGGTATATCATACATTTATAAATTATGTCCCAGTCCACTCATATGTGCTTGCACCCGTTTACAATTATCATTTAATTCATTCATTTAACATTAAATCAATCAGCCCAAACCTATTTCTAGCTAAACTTGTCTTGCAGATGCTAGCTTGTAGTGCATTCGTGAAATTAATTATTACAACCACAGGGCATCTTGCATCAATATCTCTTGTAAAACATTGTGGCAGTTAGTGTCCACATGCACTACTTAAGAGCTACAATCTTAACTTCGTTGTGCCTTGTTTGTTGTGCGTTTCGTATGCAGTGTTTGAAGGATGATGCCAACGTATCGAGTGGATTCTGCGCGTTTATAAAGAGAAATATAGAAGAGTGCAATTAACTAATGGCACCAACAAGAATCAAAGCCAAATTGTGTGAGATCAGTAAAAAAAAATGTTATTTGCGGCCATGCATTACTATTTACTATTTGCCGCCAACAAAAAAAAATAGAATTCAAAATTTATTATATATACGTCTCGGTATAGGAGTTTCACGAACTACTTTTTTTTTTTACAAAAGATAATCATATATTGATTGAAACAAAGGTAGTTACAGCCTGGAGATCAGTCAGGCCTGATAATCAAAGAAACGACTTATAGTCGGGTACAATGAAATGTCTTTCCTAGCCACCAAATGGGTTGTCCTATTGTTTTGCCGACCTACAAATCTAACAGTAAAACCAGAATGAGAAGAAAAATAGTGCACAATTTCTTCAAGAATAGCCCTAGTAAGGGTCATGATAACTATTCCACCAGTAGAATGAGAACCACTCCGCATCGCCCCATCCCACGTACACACCGGCAAATTAATCTCTGTCGGACTCAAGTGATGGGGCACATGGAGAGTTGACAAAAGAACACGATCCACAGGCAGAGTTTCACGAACTACAACAAATATCAAACTCTCAGAAAAAGTGTTCAATCATAAAAAACCAATGCTTGCCGCAACAATCATCTGAAGAGCCAAACCTAGTCAGGCCAACGGAAAAAGCTGGCCCGAGCCAGACTCGGCCGAAGGAAGTATTCGGTTCTACCTGGCATCGGCCGGAATTTTCCTTTGGCTTGGCCACGTTCCGGTTCTGGCTATTGGTATCTTTCAGCCCGATTAGGTTTTGGTCGCTGGAATCCTTTTGCCCGGTACCTGCGTTGGATTTTTTTGGCCTAGTCATTTACAGTCGCCAATTTAGATTTTTAGGAGTTGAATTTAACGTTTAAGAGTTGAATTTAGGGTTTAGGAGTTGAATTTAGTATTTAAGAAATGAATTTAGCATTTAGAAGTTGAATTTTGCGTTTAGCTTCACATTAATATTACGGGTAATAACTATTTATTAGCCAAACTCTTTTCAGGTTCTTTTTTATTAGCCAAATCTATTAAAATGCTATTAATGAGCCAAATCTTTTGTAATGCATTAAATTATTAGCCATTTTTACGTTATCGTTAATAATTTTGTAACTCTTTTCTTAGTTAAAATACTAAAATTTTGGAATGTTGACCTTCTATGTGTCTTCCTTGTCAATATCATGGTGCCAAGTTAATATTACCAAAACTCATTCTTGGTCATGAGGGAGAGATGCAACTGAAGGGGACAAGTTCCCTTCCCAGCGCGCAGGTACCTTATAGTTCACTGGACAAGACTGGAAGATCAAGACCGCGAATCCGAGTGCTTTGGCCGCGAACTTCAGGAGGAAATGCTGCTGGAAGAACAGAGAGTTTCCCCACTCATCTCGCGGGCTAACCGTGAAAAAAGATTGTGGCTGCAACACAAAAGTTCGCGCCCGCGAACTTTTGCCCACAGCTTGCGATCTTGCCCGAAAACTCCAGCATCTATAAATAGTAGAGCTGCTGAAGGAAAAAGAGAGAGCCACCCTAGAATGAGAAAGTTAGGGTTTTGGAGTATTTTAGAGAGGGAAACACCTTGGGAGAGCTTCATTGAAGATTCAATCCACCCAAGGAGAAAGAAGAAGGTGCAAGCAAGGAGAAGAAGATTGATTCCATCACTCCCTCTCTTCTAGTTCGTATTCTCTCTCTCTCTCTCTCTCTCTCTCTCTCTCTCTCTCTCTCTCTCTCTCTCTATGACTTGAATCTCTAATGGTTGTTCAGAATAGATGAACCCTAGATTGATATGATCCCAAATAGCCAACGGTACACATTTTTATTGCTTGACAAAGAAGCACTCTCAAGTGGCAAAAAGGAACATAATTTGGCTAAGTATCAAAACAGTTTCATGGTGCCTACTTTGGAGGCTTGGTTCTCACAATTGGCTCGATGAAAATTCAAGATTAAGGAGCTTGTATTAAATATGGAGTGCTTATCTACATGTTGGATGCATTGGTGAATCCAGAACAAGTCATTAGGTCATTTTCCAAAGCCTTAAAGTTGCCCTCTCAAAACAGGAAAACTGCCTGAAAATGGCCAAGTTTGGAAACGTGTTTGTGAATGCTACTTTGGAGCTCCAACGAGGAAGAGGGTTGAGAATCAATTTAGAAGCTTCATAGCACATGGAAGTTCATATGATAATCTACAAATACAAGGCATTGGATGAAGGAGTGCTTACCTCTAAGGCTTCGAACGAAGAGCTCAAAAGTTGCTACGAAGCCCGTTTTTCTAGCAGCTTGCCTATGCTAAAAGGTAGCTTGCTTGTGCTTAAAGAAAGGGAATTATGACCGAGTTTTTGTGTCCTTTTTAGAGTATACTTTATCTTATTTTTTTCCTTGTTCATTTCGGTTTGTATTAGGTTTTCTTGACTATAAAGAGCATTCTACTTACATTGTAATAGTTAGTTTATGGTTCAATAAAAATTACTCCGACGAGTGTTTGTGTTCTTGGAGCTTTGGCTCGAGAATCAATTTATTGTCTTAGCTACGTGTGGATTACATAGCTAATTCAAGACCCTTGTTCAAGCAATTTTGTGGACAATTCCAGAATCGTTTAGCAAGTTCTCTTATCAATCGAGTAAACACCTAAATTGTGGCAAGAATTCTACCTGTCCATAGTGTATCGTTCTATTGCTTGATTGTTGTGTTACTTTGATCAAAAGCACCCCCCTAGTGCTTTATCATAGATTGTAGTAGGTATTTGAATCAAGGAATTTTACAATGCTATATAGCATTGGTGCTATAGGTTTTTCCCATTATGGTACAATTTGAAGTTGTACCTTTAAAGTTATGGTACAACTTCATATTGTATCTATACTCTTTTGTACAAATTCTTTTATGGTACAACTTGAACTTGTACCATAACATAAGGGTACCAATTCCTTTATGGTACAACCTGAATTTATACATTTAATATTATGGTACAATTTCAAGTTGTACATTAAAACACCAACGCTTTAAAGCATAGTAAAAGTGCTCATTTGAATGATTTTATCTATGGGTATGTTGTTCTAGTGAAATTTTGCCTCATGTGTAGGTAGTTATCTGCTTAGGTAAGTCACCCTAATCTTCCCCACTAGCCTACTTGAGCTACTATGCTGGGTACAAAGGCTTAGGGTTCGACGGCTATGCGCCATCTGACAAACTAGTGATAGTGAGTTATCTTAGGGCTTTGAGGTGGACGAGGCGACCGAACCCCTGCATCTATAGTTCCTTCCTAGAATGATGCTTTGGGAGGCTCTCCCTAATAGGGTGCGATATGTTGAACCTATTTTCAGGAACTATGAGAGTATCCCTAGCGAGGAAACTTAGATCGAGGTGACATTGAGTCTTTTTGGGTAACGCTACGAGGAGGGAGAAATCCCCAGATTAGAGAGTTCCGCACCTTAACCTATAAACTCAACTTACCAACTATAGCTAGGGGAATTCTGTTTTAGGAAACCATCTCATTTCTAGCGGTCTCCCAACCACTTGGTTGGTTGTTTAGGAGTAGCTTAGGTTAGATTCTTCACCAAAACTTCTTATTCGGTTAGGTAGTAGTTTGGAGTGAAGTAAAATTAAATTTAGGGTACCCTTGGAATACGACCGAACTGCTTTACTACATCCCTAGCTAGGTTATACTTGGCCTTGTTGGGATTGAATAGTGAGTGCACTTCGACTTTATAAATTTAAAACTCAATCGAAGTAGCGATAGAATCAACTCTCTTAAAATGGGGGAAGAGGTCCTCTATTTATACTTTATAGACTTCAGGGGGACGGACGAGTTCTCTTCCGAGCAGGGGGAGATCGCCGTCGTGAGCTTTTGCTTTGAGGCTCTGATCTTCAGGCATCGCTATTTTGGTCTTCATCTCTTGGGAGTTTGCGAGCTGACTTCACGGTCGTGATCCGTGAGTAGCGGCTGCAAACTTCCTCGCGGTCAGGGAAGACGGTGATCGTGATTCGACCTTCGAAAGTTTACGTTCCTTCTTTGATGGCTTCATCATGAAGTTTGCGCCCAAGAGCTCCAAGTTTGCGGCCGCAAACTATTATCCTCAGGCCATGATCCTCTCTCCTTCTTTGCGGTGTAATGTCTCGGCCGAGATCTTCCAAGTCCATGTTGTGATCTTCAACTTCCTACCATTTTTCTACTCTTATGCCCCTTTTCGTACCTAATTCGCATATATCGTCTAAAACACCCTAAAATCACAAAAGAAACCTAAACATAAAGGGAAAATAACATCAATTTGGGTGTTATCATCCACTCATTGCGAAACTTCAAAATATATGATCAATCACCGCTTTGATGCCATATAAAAAGGAAATATAACTTGAAAGCGACACAAAACACCAGGTATATGTGGTTTCACCTTTCAATATGAACGAGGCTATCCACGAATAACGTGATTTTTTGGGATTATTATTATGTAACTTACTATAGTTTTGCTACCTTCAAGTTGCTGCCGTAGCTCACCTTTCCCTATATATACTCGCTACAATCAACGTGACTAAGTAGGGTTTACTAAGACTAAACTAACAACTTGCCCTCTAACTTCTAGTATATTTACATACACGGCCAACGCATTTCTACAGTTAAATAAACATTCAACTAGTTTT